TATATATATATATATATATATATATATATATATATATATAGTTGTTGTTGTTGTTGTTGTTGTTGTTGTTGTTGTTGTTGTTGTTGTTGTTGTTTAAAATAAGTAACTTTCTCTTTGCCGTTTAGCACACTGGTGACACGTTTAATAATAACTGAGGTTGTGCGTATTAACTGGGACGTAAGGGTGGAGCAGTGGTTAGAGCCGTCACCACAAAGCGTGAAGGTTGCAGGTTCACCTCCTGGCCTTTGTGTGGAGTTTGCATGTTCTCTCCGAACATGTATGTGTTTTCTCCGTGTACTCCGGTTCCCTCCCACAGACCAAAACGTGCATGTTAGGCTGATTTGTAACTGTAATGTCCCTAACTGTGAGTGAGAGGGTGAATGGTTGTTTGTCTCGTTTGTCCCCATGTGTCCCTGTGATGGACTGTAGACCTGTCCAGGGGCTACACGTCCTCTGACGCAGTGACTACCGGAGAGACATCTTGTGAAAAGCAGGTAAAAGAAAATAAAAGAATGAGAGGAAAAAAAAATCTCTTGTAAAAACAGTTTAACCAACAAACTAGCTTTAAATTATTGCAAGAATCATATTAGTTTAATGATACATGCCTGGTGGAAAAGGAAAAAAAAAATGCTGCTACAATTAAACCATTGCATATAAGGACATGTTTTTTAAAAATCAACTGGTTTTATTAGGTTTTAAATTGGGTAAAGACAACTTCAGATGACAATAAAACATGGAGTGATTATCAAAGGTTAAGCAAACCCACTATGTAAATCGGTGCATAAATAAACGGGAACGCAGAGGTCTGCAACCTTTATGATCAAAGGAGTCGTTTCTGCTTCTTTGCTCTCAAAATTAAGTGTCCGGAGCCGCAACAAACTGCTGCAACTATGGTTATCAACTGGTGGCAGATGGACCACTTCAAGTTTGTCGGCGGGGGCTTTCCTGGCCAGTAGGCATTACAGTAGTCCCTCGTTTATCACAGGGATCCATACCCTGAAGACCTGCGATAAGTGATAAACCACGAAGTAGGAATAGTAGTACAAGTGGTAAGTTGTTTACTTTTATACATATATATTAAGGCCTTTTCAACCCTTCCCACACTCTTGCAATATTCTAAACAATGTTTCTAAACTGTAAACTCTCTAAAAGAGCACCGAATGTCATGATTTCAGCTCCCTGCCTCCTCTGCTCTTTCCACCTGCAAGCGCTCTTGGCCACGCCCACTTCTCCGCTCTGCACGGAGAACAGCTGATCAGCTGCAGCAGGAAGTTTATCCTGCAGTGTGGACTAGCAGGTGCTAAATAATTTTAAAATGATTTATTTTAAATAAAAATTTCATGCCGATCGTGCGGCTCGTCCATCAATCAGCCAACTGTGTGTCATGCCCAATCTTATTTTGAAAAACCGCGAGAGAGCAAGTCCGCGATAAACAAACCGTGAAGTAGTGAGGGACTACTGTGCCTGACAAAACTATAGTTAAATGATTTTTAACATTGATTGATATTTTTATATTAAGACAAAAAACAGATTCTTGTAAAGAATTCTTTTTTTTTTAATAAAAGAACATGTAATTATTTAATGGTGGAAAAATCCTTTGAAGAAGTAAAGCATAAAGTTAAAGTGAATATGTTTTACTCCTTGTTTTAGTACTAGTATTCACATCTTTGCAAGAGAAATTACAAGAAAACTGCTAAAACTAACCATTTTTGTTGTTTGTGTAACGACAAATGAAATTCAGTTTTATGTTGGTTTTGGTCAAAGCTTGAAAGAGCTGCTGCAGAGGGACAATGTGGCCCCAGAGCCGCATGTTGCTGACCCCTGCTCCGACATCCTGTTGGAAATGTTTTCTTACCGACATCAAACTCGAAGCCTTTCTCTGTGTAAGTGTGGCAGCAGCCTCCGGCCTGCTCGTGCTGTTCCAGAACCAGGACTTTCTTTCCTGCTTTGGCCAGCGTGGCTCCAGCCGTCAGGCCACCGATTCCACTGCCGATCACAATCACATCCAGGTCCTGGGGCACTTTGTCAACACTGAAACCTGTACAGCAACACGATTAATGTGATTGTATCCACTGTGCTTCATCATAAAGCTGTGATGCTATTAAAACATTAACATTAATGTGTACCACACTGTAAATAAATTATACAACGGTCTGAAGGTTGCAGTCCACCTTTCTGGTCCATAAACCCTGAACAAAACCACAGATATACGTCCTCCTGTCTGCAGTAAATGTAGATTAAGATATCACAACTTACATTGTGATCTAATTTAGATAAAGCGCATAAAAAAGAAATTGCCAACATGCCCCAACTGCATTTATGGCAGGGCAAACAGATAGTAAAAAATGTATTTGTACAAAGATAGTTGCATGGAAATGCATTTTCTTTAGGCCTGCTTGGAAATGTACAAGACAGGAAATTGTAGCTTTAATTGAGGAAAAGAAAATCACCTGTCAGTCATGTCTATAAGAAATTAATACATAAATAAATAACCAGAAACAATCTAGTTTAGGAACGTTAAATGACTGCTTGAGTGACGTTTTTTATCAATATATTTAACAAATTATAGTGACAACGTTTTTAGTATGTATACGAAGTATACTTCAAAACTGTAGGAATTTTTCATTTTTATAGGAATTGTTTTTTTCTCAGATCTCCCCAAAGGGCAGACAGTGCTCACCCACGTTTCCACTGACTTCTGTTCTATTTAATCTCAAAAAGTTGTCTGTAAAGATAAAAGTGAGGGGCTGTTTTAACGTTCATTTCAAATATAAAACTAGAAACAAAGAAATTCACATATGTCGCCATCGGAGACTTCTTGCTCCTCGGGTTACGGTCAAACATTTTTAACATGTGGTTTATAATTTAGGCAGCACGGTGGATTAGTTGGTATAACTGTTGCCTCTCAGCAAAAATGTTGCAGGTTCAAATCCCAACTTGGGGACCTTTCTGGGTGGAGTTTGCATGTTCTCTCCGTGCATGTGTGGGTATTTTCCCGGGTGCTCCGGTTTTCTCCCGCAGACCAAAAACATGTATGTTAGACTGACTGGTAACTCTAAATTGTCCCTAAGTGTGAGAGTGAATGGTTGTTTGTCTCGTTTGTCTCTGTGATGGACTGAAGACCTGTCCAGGGTGTCCCCACCTCTCACACAGTGATGGGTGGACATGGACACCAGTGACCCTAAGAAGAAGCGGGTAAAGATAATGGATGGATGGAAGTGTTTATAGTTTTCCCCGTTCGTTCTGTTTTGTCTGCTTTTCTTAAATTTGCTCTCAGGGAGTGACACACACTGGTGTGTGGTTACTATGGTGACCCTAACGAGCCACAGGCAGCAGATTTGACTTTTTAAAATCTTTTTATACACTTTGTAAGTTAAAATGTTTGTTTTCAGCGTAGATCCTTACGAAGTTAATTTTTGTGGCAACAGCTGCATTTAAAAATAAAAAATAATCTTTCCTATTGTCCATCCATCCATCCATTATCTTTACCCACTTCTTTTTTGGGCCGTGGGGTCCACTGGTGCCCATGTCCAGTTATCACCGTGCGAGAGGCGGGGTGCACCTGGACAGGTCGCAAGTTCTTTCCTATTGTCTCGCTTTAAATTTTGCAAATAGTCTGAAGCCATGCAATAAAATAACGATAAGCAGATGCAAATAATTTCTGCTTCATGCAAGCATTTCATTCACATGGACTTTACCTTGCTTGATGACTTTGTCCCTCTTCTTCTGGTCAAATTCTCGAGGTTCTGGAGGCCTCACTGACTCCAGAGAGAAAGGACTTGCTACCCCAAACAAGTACCTGTAGGTGCCGACAGCCCAAACAACCAACAAGAACAGGACGATCAGGAGCCACATTTTCAAAAATCTGAATCTGTGTTTCTGTGGCAGGGTGCGTTCAGCTGTGATGGTCCTGGCTCTCACAACGCTCCTTTTTATTGAGCCGCTGTGCCAAAGGTCTGCTTAGGTTGACCGTGACATTGATATGCAACACTTTCTGTTATAAAGAGCAGTAAAGATAAAAACGTTTAACACCCACTTTTCTCGTGATGACGGAACGGACGATTATTGCTGCACAAATTCCGTGAAGCACAGTGAGTTTGCTTGTTTGTATCGCCACCAATACTGACGCCATTTGCACATGGTTTATAAAAGATTATTTGTTTTTTTACTAAACTGCTGTTAGACTGTGAAAGGCCCGTCACAAGATCTGAGGAGTCGTTACCGCAGCTTGGAACGCAGCTGAAGTTTAGCTCGTATTGACCCTCCTCTGATGTGAACAGCTGAAATGCGTTTCATTTCTGTCAGGATCCGTGTCCTCTTAGGGTTTTTTTTGGTGTTTGTTGTTTTTGGATTCATTTCATTCGTGTCAGTTCATGTTTTCTGAGCTTCTTTGCTGCAGCCCGGCCCACTCTCACCTGTTCCTCGTTGTCATTTTGCCCAGGTGTCTTCACTCAACTCCTGTCTTAACTTGCAGCGCATGATGTCTCATCTGAATACAGATTTAAAAAATGTGCTTTAATATCTATTCATTCATTCAACCTTTATTCATACAGGTTAATCCCATTGAGCCTCAGGGACTCATTTACAAGAGGGACCTGATTTCTTAACAAAGAGTGATGACAACGGTGGATAACGACGACAACAATAGACAATCATAAGAGGCATACAAATATATATATATATATATATATATATTTATATATTTATATTTATAATAAATAATTATAATATTTTTTTTTTTTTTATTTTTTTTTTACAAATTAAAATAAAATGGCAACCAAAAGGACAGTCAACAGGAAAAAGCAGCATAAAAAAAAAACCTAACAAAAAACAGCTAGATTATAAGGCGGTGTAGAAAACTAAAAACAGGAACATGTCTGCATTGGTTGTACTCGACAGATGTTTGAAGCCACTTGGAGAGGTCAAGGTCCAGAGCTTCAGATCTTTTGCCAGATATTCCAGGAAACGGGAGCGGAGTAGGAGAAGGCAGTTTTGCCTAGTTCAGTCCTCACTGAGGGAACACTGCAGGTAATGATGTCCTGGGAGCGCACGCTGTAGCTGCACTCAGGAGATGTTTGATCTATAAAACTGCAATCATGACCTAAGACCGTAATCGGCTTGTTCTGTGCAGGTTCATGCCATCCATCCATCCATCCATCCGTTATCCTCTGCTTGTTCTGAAGTCGGGTCGTGGGGGCAGCAGCTTGAGCAGGGAGGTCCAGACATCTCTTTCCACAGCCACCTCTTCCAGCTCTTCTGGAAGGACTCCGAGGTGTTCCCAGGCCAACCAAGAGACGTAGTCTCTCCGTGTCCTGGGTCTTCCCTGGGGTCTCCTCCCAGTCGGACATACTCGAAGCACCTCCCTAAGGAGGCGCCCAGGAAGCATCCTTACCAGAACCACCTCAACTGGCTCCTCTCGATGTGGAGGAGCAGCAGTTCTACTCCGAGTCTCTCCCAGATAACCGAACTTCTCACCCTATCTCTAAGGGAGAGTCCAGCTACCCTGTAGAGGAGACTCATTTCAACCACCTGTATCCATGATCTCATTCTTATGGTCACTACCCAGAGCTTGTGACCATAGGTGAGGGTGGGAACGTAGACTGACCAGTAAACAGAGAACTTCGCCTTACAGCTCAGCTCCCTCTTCACCACAACGGACCGGTACAGAGTCCACAATATTGCAGACGCTGCACCAATCCGTCTGTCAATCTCACGCTCCATTCTTCCCTCACTCGTGAACAAAACCCAGAGATACTTGGACCTCCTTCACTTGAGGCAGAACCTCACCCTCAACCAGAAGAGAGCAATCCACCCTTTTCCAGTTCAGGCCTCAGATTTGGAGGTGCTGATGTGCTTCGAGACACATATTTGCTTCATAGTCATGTTTCAAACTATTTGACCCTAATTAGTGTCACAGAGGGCAGCACGGTGGTGCAACTGGTAGAGCTGCTGCCTCTCAGCGAGCAGGTCCTTGGTTCAAACCCCGGTCCAGGGGCCTTTCTGGGTGGAGTTTGCATGTTCTCTCTGTGCATGCGTGGGTTTTCTCCAGGTACTCCGGTTTCCTCCCACAGACCAAAAACATGCATGTTAGGCTGATTGGTAACTCTAAATTGTCCCTAGGTGTGAGTGAGAGAGTGAATGGTTGTTTGTCTCGTTTGTCTCTATGTGTCCCTGTGATGGACTTGCGACCCGTCCAGGGTGTACCCCGCCCCTCGCACAGTGATTGCTGGACATGGGCACCAGCGACCCCCGTGACCCAAAATGGAATAAGCGGGTAAAGAAAATGGATGGATGGATGGATGGATGGATAGTGTCACAGATTGGCTATTTTGACTATTTAAAGTAGGGATGCACGATATTATCGGCATAGTATCAATATCGGCCGATATTAGTGATAAAGTTAAATATCGGACATCAGCCATTCCATAAAAAAAAACTCACCGATATAAAAGGCTTCGGTTTTAAGTTAATTTTTAATTTAAGAAGCTGTGAAATATATATATTAATGCACTACTACTTATGCATTTTTCACTTGTCGCTTGTGAACAGGTTGAGTTTAGATTGGTGAAAATTTACAAATTTGTACTGTTCGAGTGTTATTGTGTTAGAGTAAATGTCATGAATACATTTGACATTAAAGATTACCCAAGTTGAAGTGTTGCATCATTTTCAGTCCCTGTTTTCACATTTACATTTGGTAGCCAAACTGACAAGGACCTGCAGAATAATGTATTTTAATTCAACAGCAGATAAAACTATGTAGTCTCTGTAAGTAGGTCTAGGAAAAAACATATATATCTGTATTGGTATCGGGTATCGGGTATCGGTTATCGGTTATCAGTCAAATATGTTTTAACATATCGGATATCGGCCAAAAATCCAAGCTTGTGCATCCCTAATTTAAAGGAAACCAACAAGCTTGGATTACGTGCTGTGAGCCATGCTGAACGGTGTGAAGGCCAGAACGGTCTGAGGAGCTCAGAATGAAGGATATAAACACTACAAGACCGTCTCTGAGCAGCTTTAAGTTCCTCTGACCACAGCTGCTGAAATAATTAAACACGCAGCGTTCATGAGGCTGTAGCCACCCTCCCAGGACATTGACGCAAGAGGAAATGCAACCCCAGAACCAAGGAAACCATTCAAGATGGTTTAGGTCAAACTATAAGGTGACGGTTTGTCACTTTCTGATCCATCACAGTTTAAATGGGCCCAGTAACACAACTAGAATTTACCAAATGTTGATGAGCCTGGTTATTATTATGGAATCACCTTTAATCCACATCATAAATGCACCATGAAACGTCTCTTATCTGATAAGGCAATTAAGATAATTTGCTTATGACAGCTCTTTAAGTGTCCTGCTTCATGTCTTTACGAGCCTGCAGCTGATTGAATACTCAGGTGAGACAAACGGAGTTTTTGTCCTTTAGGATCCAGGAAACGACAACTGTAAAACTTTAGACGACATGAGCACTTGCATAACCAGTCCCGTTGTATCTACAGATGTATATCTCCTGAAGGGATGACGGCAACCTTTATTACATTTCATGTTGTGTTATCTTCATTATGGCAGAGATTTCTTAGCCCATTATCACGGTTTTGTGTCTTTGCATGGACTTTACACGACGGTTGTACAATTTCCATTTTTTTATCTTGACTTTGAGCTGCAACATCTGCAGAGAGACATAAAACAAAACAAACTAAATTAACTATTAAATTAATTAAACTAAATTATTTTGCCTGCAAAAAAAAAACATGTGCGTTAAAATGATGACTCCATGATGATTATTACTGATGTCAGCTTGTTAGTATTTTACTGCTCAAAGTGGCTGCTGTGAGAAAAGTCTTAAAGTTCTCCAACTTCCTATATAATTATAACTTTCCCACCAGAAAAAAATGTCAAAATACTTTTAACTCTTGTTTTTTTTCCCTCTTGCTTTGTAAAAATAAAAAAAAATTAAAAACTTGTTGAACAATTTCTGACACTGACAGAATGTCAAAACATATTTGTAAAATAATTAACAAACCATTGCGATTGTTCAGTCTAGACATGAAAAATGCATGAACCAGTTTTTCTGCACAATTTTTAGATCAGATGTTTCAAATTTCAGCGATATTACGCAGATGGAAAAAGACGGTTTTAGTAACGTTTTGAACATTTATGTCAAATGTTTACATCTTTAATAAAATTTAAGCTAAATCCTGAAATTTTCGCCCATTTCTGCACATTTAAAGCTACTCATTGCAAAATCATGGACCGGATTAAAATAAAAGCACACCATGACGTATAAAAACAAAGTCCACTCAATATATTTCTCATAACAATAGTTAATGTGTCTTTAATACATTGGGTACATTAAAGGCACTATATTTTATTAGTTTAATTTAATAGATATTGACCTAAAATAAACATGTTTGTTCATTGACATTTCCCATCATTTGCTCAAATAGTGTATACTTGTACGTGTATACTTTTGGCAATATAGTATGTGTGTATATATATATATACATATATATATATATATATATATATACATATATATATATATAGTTTAATAAAAACAGCTAAAGCACTAATATTATTCTTTTACACATGAGCTTTTCTCTTTTTTTTTCTGCAAGGTGCTTAAGAAAAATCCTGCATTTATTTCATTTTTATCGTTTAAATCCACAAAATAAAGATCCAGTAATCAAAGGTTTTAACGATAACAAAAAGTGAATCAAGACAAAAACAAAAATTCTTACATTTCCTTTAACGAGACTTTTATTTTATCACAAACAGGACCAGGCTTTGTAAATATAAAATGGTTCAAAAATCATAACCAGAAGATATTTTGATTTTTTTTGTCACGTGTGTTTTTATTATTTCAAACTTTTCTGTCTTCTAAGCCATGATGAGCTCTGTTTTATCTCTTTACACCTTTAATAAAGCTCTTATGAACACTTTCACATTTATTATTCTTTCTTTGGTTTAGATTATAAAACGACAGATTTAATTTGCCACCTGTCCATGCTCTATTTTAAAAATTAATTCAATGAAATATGTTTAATAAGTAACCAGTTTCACCACGTGCACTCTTTTATTTCATCCATACAATGATAAAATCTACCATTTCATTCAGTAAGGATGATTTCTTCATTAGAGCAAAGTTAATTATCTTTCCTCGCATCTACAAATTTGAATTAATTTTATTTAAATGTGTGTTTTTGAGTTTCTCTGATCATTCTTCTGGATTTTATTTGAAAACGCCGTTAAAAAGCTGCACGTTTAACACGAGTCCTGATCCAAATGCTGCAGAAGTTTAGTTGATTGGCTGCAAAGTGATTTTATAATTGGATGGAGAGCTCAAGCTGCAGAACGGAGCTTAAAGGAGCAGACCAGCAAATCCCATGAAGATTAAACTCCTCGTCATTTTTCACCTTGTCTTTACAAACCGATCAGTTAAAAACCAGCTGAAAATCAGTAATGAAAGCAGACACGTCAGGTTTGAACATCTATTTGTATTTATTTACAGCTTAACACACACAAACACACAGTCTTTGAGTAGTGATGCTTTTATTACACATCTCCGTTTTAATTTATTTAATCCACAAGAGCTCTGCAAGGATGTAACGAGCAGCTCTGGTACAATAAAAAACAAACGTGAGACTTTCTCTTTGTGCTATGTTAATATACAGCCTCCTTTGTCTCCCTTGTAGGGGTTCTTGTCATCTGGGACGCCCTTGATCAGCGGGTCGTTTGGTGACAGTCCTTCAACAAAAGAGATAGTTTCCGTGCAGTTTGCACTCACCTGTTTCAGAGGAGGGCAAAGAAATCGCTTCAACGTCTGCAGGACAGTTTACGATCCAGCTAAAGTCTGCTTTAATGGAAACCAAGTCTACGTAAAAGAAAGACTGTTCACTCACTGGTGTTCTTGGTGTGCTCACTTCTTTTTTCAACTGGTCCAGCTCCATTTTCAGGATTTCTTTATCTGACATATCCCGAGCCATCCTGGCTGTAGGAGCCAAAATATAAAACAAATCCTCAACGATAACGAGTAGATTTTTAAAATTTTAAACCAATCCAGTAAAGACAAATGCCTAAAATCAGCGGTTTTACCTGTTGAATGGCGGGACCCCCAACGATCAGAGAGATCTGGCGTATCTTCCTCTCACCTGGCTTCTCCTCCTCTGACAGATCTGTGCCGTCCCACTGCTCCTCATCCCAGCTGATCCCCGCTGCCGGGGCTTTTGGCTGAGGTCGCCACCGGATTGCGCCTGATGTCACCAATCCCCTGTGATGGGATTAAACAATCAGGGAGTTTATCTCCCCAACAGGAAGCAGAATCTACCAATCTGTGCACAGGCAGTGAAACGATCACCGTGGCACAAAAACATAAAAGATTCAAAGATGTGTCGGTGACAGAATGTGTTGGGGATGACTGTTTGCTATCAACACTCCAAACTTTACATGAGTTTAATCCATTTTTGTGTTGGCCAATTCAATTCAATTCAAGAATACTTTATTAATCCCAGAGGGAAATTAAATGTTGAAACTCATCATCATTAAAGAGTTGTTCTAGATGCTGATGGCTGTGGGCAGGAAGGATCTCGTGTAGCGGTCTGTCCTACAGCGGATCTGAAGTAGCCTCTGAAGACACTCTGTTGTTGTATGACAGTCTGATGAAGAGGATGCTGAGTGTTGTCTATAATGTGCTGCTGATCTCATGCTGCTGATTTATTTCATGTTGCTGTGTTCATTCGTCCTCATCTGCTCACACAGACTCATGTTCGTGCTGCTGTTTGGTGCATTGTTTCGTACTAGTAGTGATTAGTGTATTCTTAGTTTAGCGTATTTCTTGGTTCATATCTTAGATCTTATTACTGTTTTTCTTTGTAATTTGTATTTTTGTTGGATGTAACTGGGACCCTGTGTACGTAGTTTCGTTCCACCATATGCACCACATGTGGCGTGAATGACAATAAAGACACCTTGACCTTCTTTGAACAGTCATCTCCAGAGGTTCTAGAGGAGTCCCCAGAACTGATCCAGCCTTCTTTATGAGCTTGTTGATCTTTTTAAGTTCACTTGCTCTGCTGGTGCTGCTCCCCCAGCAGATGATGGCAGAAGAGACGGCGCTCTCTGCAACAGACTTATAGAAGATCTGCAGCATCTTGCTGCAAACGTTGAAGGACTTCAGCTTCCTCAAGAAGTACAGTCTGCTCTGTCCCTTCTTGTAGACGCTTCACTGTTGCATTTCCAGTCCAGTGTGTTGTCCAGGTGAACCCCAAGTTATTTATACTTCTCCACCACCTCCACTTCTTCTCCCATGATGGAAATACTGTTGGACCTGTTCCTGTTTCTCCTGAAATCTACAATCATCTCCTTTGTTTTGTTCACATTCAAGATGAGATGATTGTTTCCACACCGTGCCACAAAGCGGTCCACCCAGTACTCAGCATCTCTGATACACCCGACCACTGCAGAGTCATCTGAATATTTCTGCACATGACAGGAGTCTGTTTTGGCTTAGGTTGATTAGCTGCGTTCATCTTGAATTGGGATGTTTCCAAAAGTTGAGATAGACGTACAGTACACCCAGTGTTTACACTCTGAGAGTTTGATTAAAATCTGTCCAGAGCTCCACGAGTGGTTCTGTTAATTGACACATAATGTTTCAACAAAAACGTCCTGCAACGTGTAGCGGTCGGAGTGTTGTATAACTTTCAGCTACTACAACACTAAACTTCAGCTCTATCTTTGATAAATGGAGGAAGTTTTATGTGTACTAAGTGTTTGTAGCTGTAGTGGCCATCTTGGATTGCATCGACTCTAAATAGAATAGATGTGTTTTCAGTGATTACTTTCTGAGAGTTTCATTTAAATCTGTCAACCGGTTTGAGATATTTTGCTCATGAGCACACGCAACAGCAGAAAAAAAACCATACGCACAAAAAACTAACAGAGGTCTGTGTTTAATCATCATTTCAGCAGGAGTCAAATTGAAATAAATCTGGTCATTTATCTGATCTACTTCATGTCTTTAGAATAAATAATGCTGATAATATAATTTCAGTGGGCTATTTAGATTGGTGGAGAAATTAAAAATGTTTGTACCTACAAATGTATTTTTATTTTGTCCTGCCTTTCTCACAAATGACTGCCTGCAGATTGACATTGATATAAACTTGAGTTTTTATGATTTCAGGTCATTCAAACTTATCAAAAACCCAGTTCTGTTCCCATCACCTGTTTGACGTTTCATGTGGGAGATGAGAGTCCACTGATCCAAAGCTCAACCTCCTGCAGGACTCTCACTAAGCTGTTTTCAGGATCTGGGTTAGCGCTCAAGATTAACCCTGAGACACGTCACCGTGGATTAACAGAGGTGAGCGTCGCTGAACACATTTTATTACTTAAAAGTGTCTATTTAACAACAAAAAATAATGCCCTGTTGTCACTGAAGTGCTTGTGATTCTCTTTACAGCTTCTGATAAATTAATAAACTTCCACAAGAATGAAAACTATTAAATAACTTGTTAATTGAATGGCTGCTTAAATTGGAAAAAGTAGTGTGAAGTCATCATTATGGCTCTTAATATAATTTTTTTTTTTATTATTATATAAAAAAATGTATTTTATTTTTATTGTATAAAAATGTAATAGAAAAGAAAGCTACTTATGAAGCACGTTACAGTAAAATTGTACTTGCCACTGTTTAGAGGTTAACACAAAATAGATTAAATTTGCTTTATAAATCTCCCAGCATCAGTAGTTTTATCAAACCATCATTCCCATTCCTAATTTTTTCAAGTCACTTGCTTTTGATTTAGTTTTTATCATATTGTTTAAATTAATAACCTTTTGTGATCAATTTTAAACTATTTTAATTGTTTTGTGTAAATATTTGAGGATGATTTTTCCCCTCCCATTTGATAACTTGTGCAATTGTCAATTTTGTCCACTAGGTGGCGCAAAATCCTAAAAGTTCTACTTTCCTGTTTGGAGGAGATTTAAATATTATTCTTGATAGTTCCTTGGATGAATATATTGCATGGATAAATTTAACCTACATATGAGGAGTAAAATAGCCTAATAATACAATATTTACATGGAGCAACAAAACAGGTTCAAGTCAATGAAAAATAGATTTTTGGTTGATTTTCAAAGGTTTTAGTAAAAATGATGAAGTGAACACCTTACTCCCCTTATGGATCACAAAACCATTTAGATAAAACTATCTGTCCCTAAATTAGGTGCTGCCCATTCAGCATAGTGGAAACTTAACAGCTCATTAATAAAAAGAAGTGACACACTTGATTTGGTCTAAAGCTTAAAAAAGAGGAACAGTTCAGTGTCATTGGGGAACTCCTGAAGTTTGAGCTCGGTACATATTTCAGAGTATTCAGTTGTGACTTAGCTTCAAGGTTCTTTACTGTTATTTGAAAGAAATTGTATACACGGGGTCCCGTTACATCCAACCAAAGTATAGCAACAGCAAAAGATAAAATTTAAAATAAACAGTAATAGAGATCTAAGATATAAACTAAGAAATATGCTAAACATTTAGTAGTACAAAAACAATACGCCGAACAACAGCAGCACGAACATGAGTCTGTGTGAGCAGATGAGGATGAATGAGCACAGCAGCATGAACTCAATCAGCAGCATGAGATCAGCAGCATGGATAATCAGCAGCACATAACAATCAAAGTGGCATTACAGTGATTTATTTTCTTTCACAGTGATTGTCCTGATTAGAGATTCACGAGTCTAACAGCTTCAGGGTAAAGGCTGTTCCTTAGTCTAGTGGTTCTACATTTAATGCTCCTTAACTTCATGCCTGAGGGGAGTGGGGCAAAAAGTGTGTGTGCTGGGTGAGTGGGGTCCTTCATGATGCAGGTGGCCCTCTTCCTACATCTGGAGGTAGATGTCTGTGATGGTGGGGAGACTGACCTAGTTACTTTGTAAATCTGGAAAACTTGAAGAACTAGATGTGGTGTGAAGAATCACCTCGTTATCTGAAACCCGTGAGACACCATCAGAGGAAGGAAAAACAAGATTAAATCAGTGGCTCCTACGAGATTTATCACTGAAAGGAAGAATTTTACTCACTAAAGCAGAATAAATCTCACCGTCAGCGTTGGCAGCTTTGGCTCTGCTTCTCAACGACGAGACCCTAAAAGAAATCAACAAAATGCTCTTTAGCTTTTTTTGGAAATATCTGAAGAAGTCTGTTATCATGAACTCGTTTGAGCATAAACCTTTTCGCTCCCCACAACTATCTGATTTGGAATTACAAATACAAATACAAACATAATTGCCTGTTTCTGGGATTTTGGTTTCAAAAGAACATAATACGGATGGACCAGTTGTTCAATAGTGAAGATCTTCTGCTCACCTGTGAAGAAGTTCATAGAAAATACATCCCTTTAACTCCTAGAGACTATATATGATAAGGTGTTTGGAGCATCCTCTCACATATATATATGCTTTTTAAGATCCTAGAAAGACTTGATGCTCACAACCTTACCATCCCCAATAACTGTGTCAGATTTATAAGAGCCTTATATCAGAATCACCAGTTGTTGTTCCACATTGAAATAGCTTTGTGGATGGGATAACATGTCAAAGGATCTGGCTTCTACCAAAAAGATATCGGATTACAAACAAAATTAAAGAAATATCCTATGAAATTATCCATAAAGTTTATCCAGCCATAACACTAGATTCAAGAAAACTGCTCTTAATTCAAGCTTTTGTGGTCCAAGTCCTGAAACTGTTGTTCGCATGTTTTGTTAATTCATTTATGCAGAAACCATACGACTTTATTCACAATAACTCTGAAGAACATTTTGATGTTTGTAATCATCTGCCAGAAAACTATTCTGACTTTTTCATAGATCGTCTATTATTAGTATTAAAATATCGCATTCGTTGTAGCAAACACTGTGGAAGAAAACTACTTTTGATAATGAGGCCAAGCACTGCAGTAATATTCATTTAAAGATTCTGATAAAAGAAAGACAATTAAAAACATTAAGATATGCACTGCATTGAATGTATTATTAGAACCCTGAGCCCCGCTGCCATTTCTTTCTTTTATCAGCCGTTTTGTTTTTACTATTTATTATTCCTGTTGGTTTCTTAAAAAACTAAGGTGCTTTTTGATGCGTATGAAGAGTTCTATTTAATAAAGCTTGTTTAAAAAAAACGTGCTAGATGGCTCAGCCAATAGGAGCACATGTTCATCCCGGAACTTTAAGCTTTCTTCAAAATAAGAGTTTCCATTTAACAGTTTGAATGAAAAATGCTTTCTCTGCAGCGTGTTGACAGGCACCTTCTCTTATTTTGAAATGACGGGGTCTTTTCTGACCGGAAGTGATTCTGTCTAGTTTTATCGTTGGCTTCCGCCGAACAACCATGGCAGGTCCCAGCAGGAAGCAAATGTTAAGGTTTCTTAGCCAGCTTGGAGCGTTTATTTTGACCCGTTTCGGGTTTTGGAACTGCTTCAGCATGCTGATGCTGTTTGCTGAAAGAGCGGACTCAAAAAGGTAAAAAGAATTGCGTACTTTAAACGAGCTTTTAACTAAAGTTAGCAATCAAGCTAACGGTAGTTTTGTTCAGTCATTTCACGCGTTCAAATCACAGAAGTAACTTTTCTTTAGGCTGGTAACAACTACACGTTGACTGGTGTTTTTATAGTTTAGTCTCATTATATACAAATATTCAAATGAGGAGTTTTGAATCTGTCAAAAAATGTTTTTTGGTAAGATAGCTATTAGCCTATTCTCTAACCGTCTAACAAACTCCAAGCTGTAACAACCTTGTTCTTCTTCTCTGGTTGTGTGAAGTCAGTGTGGGGTGTGTTGTTCAAGCTTACACATCCACACCCCCTCACTTATCCTGTAATTATAGCTGCTCCAAGGGGAAAAGGAGGCTATTTTTAATCTAACATGGCTTAGTTTCCCTTTATATCTATAAACGAGAGCAGTTAATTAAGGTAATGCTGTGTAGTTCATTATTTTAAATCAAATGATGATATGAGGTCCACTTAATTCTTTTTTGTTCCGTTTGTGGGACCTCCTTTTGCCTCATAATAGTATTTGTAACTTTGATTTTCTTGTGAATGCATGGGATTAGTCTTGCAATGTTTTGTATTCTCAGGATAAAATATGAAATGGTTATAGATACTTTCACATCATTATGCTTAAATGGTATGCATTCTGGGTCACTGTTCTCAACAATATATATCTTTGTTTTTTTAAGTATTCATGATTGGATTAAATAAATTCACAGCTGATAACAAAGCACTATACAATAAATCCTCATAAAGCTCTCTGGAAAGTTTGAGTAATCTGTTTTGATCCACTTTCTCCTCCAGAAAGCCGGACATCCACATACCGTACCTGTACGTGGACATGGGGGTGGCCGTCCTCTGCGCCAGCTTTATGTCGTTTGGCGTGAAGAGGAGGTGGTTCGCGCTGGGCGCCGCCATTCAGCTGGCGGTCAGCACGTATGCATCCTACGTCGGGGAGCAGGTGCATTATGGGGACTGGTTAAAGGTGAGTAACCCTTGTGACGTAACGGATTTGATGTCCATGGTAACGTCCTTCTTGGTCATAATCACTTTCAGCTACATTTATAGTTTAGTTGGACTCATTGTAAGGAGATATTAGAACTAAAGCTTAACTGGTGCTGTACTGGGAGTATTCATATTTGTGACATTAATTGTATCCTCATGTTGATGATTCTTCATCTGTCTATAAAATACAGTGTGCAGGTTGTTTCTGGAAGTCTCCTCCTGACCGGGTTCTGTTTGCTGAGTCGAGTGCAGTTAAACTTTCACCCAGTTCCTTAGAAAACAAGAATTTGGCCTTGACAAATGCGCTTCTGTTGTCACGCGGGGAAGAGGTATAAAGCTCCCGCAGGCTGTGTGAAAGCATCCTGTATGACTTGTCCATTTATTGCAATAAACGACTCGAAGACAATGAAGGGGAAGATAATTAATTTATTTCACCTGTTTCTGTGTTAAGACAGTTTAGAGTAGGAAAATCCACCACAAGTACCATGGAGGAAGTTAATAAGAGTAGAAATTCACAACACAAGACTTTATTTATTTATTTATCATCATTTCCAATACCAAAGCACAAAAACTGCATTAAAATATTTAGGTGCACATAACTCATAAATAAATTCAGGTAAAGTGGTACATAATACATATTTAATATCGAATTGTACATTTTGTGATAGTTGTATATAAATGAGACAAAAATCTGCTCAAAGTTTCTTAACAGTTTTTCTTGTGATTGTCTAAAAAGTGATTTTAGTATTCATAAAACAAAAAACCTTTTGGATTTTATTTAACGGCTCTGATTCTATTTTAAATTATATATTTACTAACTGCCTTTGTAAAAACTAATTGGGCACAAATCTCTTCGGGGGGCCGAGATGGTGTAGAGGTAGGGCAGCCGACTTGGAACCAGTCGTGGTGTCCTCGAGCAAGACACCCAATCCCCAATTGCTCCCCAGGCACCTACATAGCTGCCCACTGCTCCACCTGGGAGCATATCAGGTGTGATGATGCAGAGAACTAATCGTGTCATTGTATGGGAACATATAATGATGGCAGCACACAGTACTTATCTTACTTATCTCCATGTTTACCTGTTTCTTCAACAGTATTTTCTGTTTTTGTCCTTCGGGTCAAATCAGCTCCAGCAGTTTCTCTCAGATTTTTTTTTTTAAACCTTCTTTTAGCTTTGTTTCTTTTGATACTCAAGTGGTGAAGACATGAACAAGTACTTATTCTGTTTAGAAAGAGTTTGAACTTCTGTAAGAATCAGATATGTATCCAAGTTATTAAAACTGTAATGTGGAGTATCTGAAGCAGATCTGAGTCACAGGTGAACGTAAAGCTTGGGTGAAACCACCAGAAGTCTAAAAATAGTTTTTATTATAAATGCTTTTGCTGAACCTTGTTGTGCTGCAGGTCCGGATGTACTCCAGAGCGCTGGCCATCATTGGGGGCTTCCTGGTTCTGGCCAGTGGTGCAGGGGAGATTTACAGACAGAAGGCACGTAGCAGATCTCTGCAGTCCACTGGACAGATCTTTCTGGGGATCTATCTCATCTGTGTGGTAAGACCCAAGTTTGTGACGATTCTATTGAATTCGGTTTATTTATACAGCACAAAGACCCACCAGAAGTCGTGTCAGGGCACCGAACAGAAACATTCACTTCCATAAAAAAAAAAAAAACAATCAGTAAAAGTTCTCTATGTGAGGAAGCAGCAGATTGTGTTGAATCTTCACTTGGTCACAGTCTCCCACCCTGAGCAAGCACAAAGGAGACAGTAGAAAGGAAAAACTCCTTTGTAACAGGAAGAAACCTCCAGCAGAACCAGGCTCGGGATGAGCGGCTGGGTTTGAGAGGACAGAAAGGAGAAACAAACACAGGATGGCAGGTCCAGATGTGCTTTCTACAGGAGGAAAGAGAAAAAACCACACGTTAAGAAATAATTACAAATACAAACGAGTAGAGCAAGTAAAGACGGCAGCAGCGTGAGGAAATGTGGTCAGTTTGTCCTCCAGCAGTCTAAGCCTATAGCAACATAACTAAGGGACAGCTCAGAAAACCCAAACCAACTATAGGATTTATTAAAAAGGAAAGTCTTAAGTCCAGTCTTAAAACTGGACAATGTGTCAGCCTCTGGAAGATGGTTCCACAAGAGAGGAGCCTGAGAACTGAAAGATCTTCCTCCCATTCTGCTTTTGGAAACTCTAGGAACCACAAGTAAACCTGCAGTTTGAGAGTGAAGTGCTCTGTTAGGAAAATATGGAACAATAAGATCTGTAATATAAGATGGAGCTAGGTTGTTGAGAGCTTTGTAGGTTAGAAGTAAGATTTTGAATTCTATTCTGAATGTGACGGAGCCAATGGAAACTAGAACTGGCAAGAGATGATCTCTCCCAGTAACTCCAGTTAAGACTCTGGCAGCAGCGTTTTGGATCAACTGAAGACGTTTTAAAGACGTATTTGAACAATCCAAAGTAATTTTGACGATCAGAATTTTCACATTACATCCAAAAACTAAATATTTCACCAAATCTAGAATTCAACTTATTATCTATAAACAAAGATACAAATAATAGATGTAAAGAAAATCTTGTTTTTCCTTGTTTTGGATTTTGTTGCACTTTTAAGTTTTGATTAGACTTGAACCTATAAAAAGGGCAGATCAAGTTGTTTTTTGGGCTTGAGGGAACGCACACACGAGAGTTCTGAACAAAAATTCTGGTAAAACCGTGGAAACATTTTGTGTAACGTCCTGTGATGGCACAAGAAGCCACTCAGAGTATGTGTTGTGAATGACTCTCAGATACTACCAGCTTAAAGTTGAGCTCAATATCATTACCATTTTTTTGTTTTGGGATCTTAATTAGCTGTAGGTGTACATTTATAAATACTTGTTATAACCAGTTAATAAATCAGATTTGTTTAGTAAACTGATGTGTCATTGTTTCCTGACAAAGGTTCCCTACTAATCCTGCAGCGCCACATTTTGTCCACCAGGTGTACTCCCTGCAGCACAGCAAAGAGGACCGACAGGCCTATCTGAACCACATAGCAGGAGGGGACATCACTCTGATGCTGGTAGAGGTTCTGTTTGGAGTTCTGGCGCTGGCCTTCCTCTCCGGATATTACATCCGCCTGGCGGCTCAGATCCTGGCCACCGTCCTTCCTTTGGTCATCCTCCTCATCGACGGGAACATCAGCTACTGGCACGACAATCGCAAGGTGGAGTTCTGGAACCAGATGAAGCTGATAGGCCACAATGTCGGCATTTTTGGCGCCGTGTTGATTCTAGCTACCGATGGTTAAGAGCCAGAGACGTTTACAGACCGAGGAGATCGTTGTGGCCCTTTGGTTTTGGTCATAGCCTGAATTTTGCTAAAAAGCTGCTGCAGCAACTCAGGATTCAAAACGCTCCGAGCTCAAACGGTGGGACACAACATTTTATTTTTTATTGCAAATTTCATTATTTATTTGGTGTCATGTTTACACGCTCCGAAACATTGTGCCAAGTGCTGGTACGATAATCATGCAGAGAACACTTACTCCAGTAAGAAGTGTTAAAAAGTCCAAACACTTGTTACAGTTGAAACGTTTTATAAGAAAAGGGAAACATGTTAATGCTTACAAGTTTTTAATTAAATGAGAGAACAGTTTGTATCTTCTGTTTGGGTAATATTTACATTGAATGTATAATTTTTATCATGAGAACGTTTGATCTTTTCGCTGCTTTACAAAAGGCTGAACTGTAACTTTGTGAAATCGACAATTTCTAAGGAAGAACGCACGAACGGCAAGAAAAATACAAACTTACATTTTACTGTATTCAATATAACGCATCATCCTCCAGACCAAGAAAATGTCTTATTTCATAATACTTTTGTGTATATTTGTTTGTTTTTGCAGATTAAAATCTGATCAAATCTTCTGGACTGTACAGAATCCTTTGTTTTCCTTTAAGACTTAAAACTCCTGCACAGTTCTGTAGTTCAGCAATTCAGTTCAGTTTCTTTATACAGCATCAAGTCATAACAGAAGTCTTCTCCAAGCACTGAACAGAAACTTGAGTAAAAATTAGGGATGAATTTTGTAGCATTTTTGGCCGATATGCCGATATTAAAACTTATTTGGCCAATAATGATATTTTTCCCCCTAGCTTTTTCTGCTGTGGAATTAAAATACATTTTTCTGCATAGTCTGTCAGTTTGGCCTGCTACCAAATGCAGATGCCAGATAGGGAGCTGAAAATACATATTTTTTTAAAAGCGCCTTTTATATCAGTTAGATATCGTACATAGGTCATCACATCAAAATATCGGCCGATGCATGCCGAGAAGATCGTGCACCCCTAGTAAAAAGTTAACAGAAACATTCATATTTACATAATTTTACACTAATTATCTGAGGAGCAGACTACTTTGAGTTCTAACTCCATTGCAGAACTCTCGAGCGAGCATGAAGGCGACAGTGGAAAGGAAAAAGTTCATGGAGGAAGGAACCTTTAGCAGAACCAGGCTCAGGACAAGTAGCCATCTGCTTCAACCGGCTGGGTTTGAGAGCAACAGATACACAATGGCAGGTCAAGAATCACATGTTAAGATAGAAATAGTATCGGATGAAAGCTATTCAATTAAGGAAATTAGGTCAATTTGTCCTCTAATAGTCTAAGCCTATAGCAGCATAACAAGCCAACCCCAACTATAGGATTTATCAAAAAGGAAAGTATTCATGTGTCAGCCTCATGGACAGAAACTGGAAGTTGGTTCTACACGAGACGAGCCCGATAAAGATCTTCCACCCATTCTGTTTTTGGAAACTCTAGGGACCACGAGGAAACCTGCAGTCTGAGAGCAAAGTGCTCTGTTTGGAAAATATGGAACAATAAGATCTGTAATATAAGATGGAGCTAGGTTGTTGAGGGCTTTGTAGGTTAGAAGTAAGATTAAACACAACAAAATCTGTCAGCAGGTTTGAAACCAACAGGACCAGGCAGGAATGCATATCGCCCGCCGCCTTTCATGACAGATCTAATCAGAAATGACAGATGAAGTCGTTTGTGACGCCCAATAAATTACACAAGTCGAGAAGTGTCAGCCCTTAAAGTCCGTGCTGTGAATGACTCGCAGCTACTACCACACCGAACAACTCGACGTCTGTAAAACAGGTGACTCTGAAAGATCATCAGTCGTAGATCTACAAAAATTACTTTCTGGAAGTTTCATTAAAATCTGTCCTGTAATTGAAGAGATATTTTGCTAACAGACTGTGGCGAATATTCGTTCTTTTTTACTTCTGTGGCAGGCGATAATATATTTACTCCTCATTCTGCTGTAAAGGAGCGGTTCTGTTCCTAGTTATATTTTTTGTAGCATCTGGTGAATCCATGTTTCAGACCTTCTGACCATGTTCCCTCAGGGCCCGGTACCAGGTCCGTTTCATTTGTCCTGAACCTCTGCATCGCTCGCAGCTTGCTTGTTCTTGCGGTTGCGTTCTGCTTTGACCAGCGCCCCGACCACGGCCAGCAGCACGGTGATGGTGATGATGAGCACCGAGGCCGTCTCGGCCATGCACAGCTGGCTGTCCATGGAGACCAGAGCGCTCCCGGCCTGCTGAGGCGGCGCGTGGCAGACGATGTCCTCGTAGTCCTCCACGTGCAGGTGTCGGACGTGCTGGATCTTCCCGAAGACGCGCTGCAGGTCGCAGTCGCACGTCCAGGGGTTGAGGGACATCTGCAGGTGGGTGCTGGTGGTCTTCATCTTCAGAAAGGTCTTGAACTTGATGTGCTCCAGCTGGTTTCCCTGGAGATCCAGCAGGTTCAGGCTGCGCAGGGGAACCAGAGCTTTGGTCTGGATCTCCGAAAGGTTGTTGTGTCCGAGCAACAGGACCTCCAGGCTCTGTTGCCGGCTCAGCAGACCCTCTCTGAGGACGTTCAGCCCGTTTCCCTGCAGGTTAAGGAGGCGCAGGCGAGACAGGCTGGTGAAGGCTCTGACATCTATGGTTCGGATCCGGTTGTAACTAAGGTCCAGTTTTCTCAGGTTGTCCGAGTCTCCCAGCGAGGAGTCGTCCAAGTGCTGCAGCAGGTTGTGGTCCAGCTGGAGCACCTGGAGGCTGGACAGACCCATCGTGAGGTCCTGAGGGAGCCAGCGCAGCCGGTTAAAACTCAGGTCCAGCCTCTCCAGAAACTGCAGGGACGACAGACACTGGAAAACAGAAACGATAAAGACTCAGAGGGAACTGGTTGAACTGGTGCAGCTTAAAATTCATTTTACTCAAGAAATCGACCAGAAGATGTCAGATTCAGCTACATCACATTTTAGATCAATCAGATTAGTAAGATGTGGCCTACACGTGTGAATGAGGAGGAAGGAGAGGCCACAAAGGTGCAGGACTTCAAGGACTTCAGGAGAGTTTGGTAAAGAGGTGGAGAAGAGAGTCCAGGCAGGATGGAGTGGATGGAGAACAGTTTCAGGAGTGATTTGAGACTAAAGAGTGTCAGCAAAGGTCAAAGGAAAAGTTAACAAGATAGTGGTGAGATGTATGGTCTGGAGACAGAGACATGGACAAAAAGACAGGAGACAGAACTGGAAGTGGCAGAAATGAAGTTGGAGGACATGGAGGTAGTTGGAGTGAGATGAAAGAGGTTGACTCGCTGAGAAGGAGCAGCTGAAAGATGATCAGTACAACGGAGTTTTTCAGTTCAGTTGTCTTAAATACGGTTGACTCAAATTAGTACCGTCGTTGCTTAGACGTCCACACGATAATTACTTTTTAAACATACTTGAAAATGTTCCAGTCAGATCTTTTGGTACCAGTCACACACACACACACACACACACACACACACACACAGAAACAAAAATTACCTTTTGGCATCGGACATTAAAAAGAAAAAAAACAGAAGTGAACCTCCGTCTCTGCCTCAAATCTCAGGAAGACCAACTCCTCACTGGGATTTCTCCATTCTTTGCTCCACCTTCCATTCTGACCAGTTGTTCTGGTCCATGTTGATGAAAAATATCCCCACAGCACAACAATGGTACCACCACGCTTCACTGTAGGGATGTTCTCAGCATGATTGTGAGTGAGACGATGTCCTTTAGGGTTTGGTCTCCTGTGATTAAGTCCTTCCACGTTTAGAGGAAGAAATCCCAAAACAGTTTTTTTCTTGTCGCTCCTCCATGAAGCCCAGCTCAGTGCATCTTACTGGTCCTGTGGACAGCTTCCTCTCAGCTCCATCAGGATCTTTGGCCTCCTGAAGTTCTATCACAATATTTCCATTTCCTAATAAATAATTCATGGGAGCTCCATGGGATGTTCAGAACTGTACTCAATATTAGCGGAGTTCCTTGGTCTTCATGATGTCCCTTACTAGTGTTGCACTGGTGTGGATTCTGGAGGCTTTTCCAGCAGGTGTACATCATTTGACTGCTCACCAGCAGATCACTTATAAATTGTGCAGCTTCTAACGGGAAAGGCGACGGCTCGACTAAGACGACCCGTTTTCCTACATTTAACTCAAAGAAGCAGTTGTGGATAATTGTTTTTAAAAGTTAACCATCAGTTAAAATGCAGGCAATCAACGAGGAATGAATATTTCGTACCTGTGGATGCAGAACGTGGATGCTGTTGTTGGACATGAGGAGAATCTTGATGGACCACAGTCCCACGAACGATCCGGTGTGCACCTCCCTCACTTCGTTTCCACTCAGATCCAGCAGCCAGCTGCCGTGGGGGACATTTTTGGGGACCTGGTGCAGCCCACGAGTCCTGCAGTCCACCAAGTCAGACTCGTGGCACAGACAGGAGCTGGGGCACAGCCTGAGGCCCGACACGACGCCCAGGAGAGGAACCAAGCAAAGCATCACGCAACAACTGGAGAACATCGTTCTGGGGTCAAAGAGCATCCTCCCCTGCTGAAAGGCATGGCCAACCGTGCACATCCTTGGAGTGATGCAACTGAATGTGCTGCAAACATCCGAGCACACGGGGGAAAAATCCCGATTAGGTCCGGGATTAAAGGCTTAAACTGATGATCACATAACCGTATCTGGGGAGCAATGGTCCGTTTTGGAGCCTTTCCTAAAAACAGGATTTACATCTGCTTCACTCTACGGACACACGAAGCCGACTTGAGCCACTCGTCTCGTTTGTTACACAAATGTACGGATGGGAGAGAAATCTGGACCGACACGAGCACATTGTGGTAAATTCTGGATAAAGCACTAAACATGCAAGTCCGCTTAATCCTCAATATGAAAAGGATTTGTTTGTTCGACATTTCAGACCAAAACATTATCCAGAAAAGATTATAGCACTCCAAAGCAGTTCCACAAAAAAATACAATTAAAAACACCCATGAATATCAGAGAAATTAAGTTAAAACCAAAAGAGGAAGAACACGAGCGAAAAGTAGCAAAAAAATTGTAGAATTGTAGCTTAAAAAAATAGAGCAGCTGAAACTAGCAGAAAGCTAACTAAAAGTAGCATACGACAAAAACGGAGGGAGTATGCCATCTCGATTTTAACTGGGGAAATTATTGTAAATAAAGTCCAAAACCATAAAAAACACTTATCCATCTCTTGAACGATTTGACAAACGAATGGTTAAAGTAGCACAAAGTTTTCAGCCGACTGCAGAAACGAGCAGATTGGTGAAGAAACGTTCTCACTATGAATCACTGCTCTCGTTTCAGGCACCGCCTCCGCTGGATCAACACCGAATTCATTTAAGATGCTGCCGCCGCCCAGACGACCCAACGTCTAGAAGAATCAGCTTTAAAATGTCCAATAAATTAAGTCGGTCCACTTAAATTGTGCAGAAGACATCAGCCCCAACTGTTGCTCAAACATCTGATCGGATGAAAAACGTGGACCACCGTCCGATCATCATCATCATCACAGAGATGGTCACATTTTACCCGTAAGCACGCAGCACATTTCATAAACACCGTTTAACGTGACGCACGACAGTTTGTGTTTCTCTAAAATAAAATAAATAGTTGAAATATACAGTATTACAGTCAGAATTTTTGTTACTTTTATTTTAGAAAATGTCCTTTAAAGTGTGGCGTTTCAAGTCACATTTTGTTTAAAATACAGAAAATACAGACAGTAGAACATGGATACAGAAAAAAAATAAAGAAAAAATGACAAAACGATGCTAACAAGCCTTTCTGACTGCTCTAGTTTTTTCTTTTTTGAAATGGAACTGAAGGCAAAAGGAGGAGGGCGGAAAAAGAAAAGGATTCAGGGACAGAGGGGGAGGGGGGGCAGAATGAGACAAGTTAGTTAAGGAAACTATGGTTGCTTTATGGATCATGTTTAAATTATTCTTTATAAAGTCTAATTTAAGATTTAATCTTTCCTCTCTTTTTTTGTCTTTTTCATTTTAAGGTATTTTGAGCTTCAGGATCCAGGGCCCTCAGCGCTCCTCCTCGTGGTCTCGGACTGAGGACAAGGAATGCCGACTTTGTCTGGCAGTGGGAACAAAACCACCCGCGTTGCCTTCCCCGGCCGCTCCGCACCGCCAACTCAAGAAGATAAAGTGGAGTCCTTCTGTGTTTGCTGTGCTTGTGAACGTTGCATGGACTTCTGACTTTCCACGTCTCTAAAATGTTTCTCAACCTGCATCGAGAGAGTCAGACCGTTAGTGGACAAAGACAACAGACCTGGTGACGGGTTTGAACAGTTTCAAGAAAAGGAGCTCCTGTAAACAACAACAAAGAGAGCAGTCCATGAAGCCGAGGACGATCAGCGTTTTCACCTTTTTATTTTTTCTGTGGTTGCATGATTTGGACAAATATCTTTGATGAAAAAAAAACCTCTTTAAAACCAGAATGTCAAATGGTTCAGTCGGCTGATTGATGAGTCACAACCACGTCCAGTAACCCCGAACAATTACCGTCATTTCTGGACTACAAGCTGCAATTTTTTCCCCCACACGCTTTGAACACGGCGGCTTATACAATGTTTTTTTTTTTAAATGTGCTAATGAGCTTCATGGTGCCAAAACAATTAGCCTCATCACACCCAGGTGTTCATACTGCTGCACAATACACCTCTTTTGGGGGGGACGGGGGTGTCCTTGTGACTCAATAGCCATGTTTACATGCGCAAAATTCTTTGACCGGATCGACATGTTTTCAGATTAAATAATTTGAATGTATAGTTTACATGCACACAATCTGTTCATGACGAGCGTTTACATGCAGAGCGGTAAACTCTCCTTAAAACCAAACACAGAAGAAGAAGTTCTACTTCCGGGATGAACGTAAACAAACCCGAGCGCCCAAAATGGACCCGCGACAGGTTTTAATGGTGCTGGAGACGTCACTGCACCCCCTGACTGAGCTGCAGGTGATGCAGATTATTTTGAGCTCTTTCCAAGTTTCTAGTAGAAATGTTGTCGCTCATCGACCAGTTTAGCTTCTTCCTATTATTAGCATTAGCCAGGCGGAAATACGTCACGTGCGCAGTCAGGTCAGTTTTCCACAATCAGGATAAAATGATCAGATTAAGTGTTTGCATGCACACCATTCGGATTACGAATCGGCACAAACCACCCGTCTCGTTCCGATTACAAAATATTTCGGATCGAGCTGAATCAACAAACAATCTGAATGGGGCGTTTACATTTTTATTCAGAATGGAAGCTTAATCTGATTACTTATGTCCATGTAAACCTAGAAAATGAGACTACGTGTATAAAAAAAAAAAAAAGGTAAAAAAAATAACTAAATAAAATCTGACCAATGAAACAGGTCACAGTGGACCAATGGGGGGGGGGGGGGGGGGAGATTTCCCCGTCCTTTCCTCCCCGTTGTGCCCCCAAGGAGCAGAGAAACACGATGGAAACAGCACAAGCTCATGGGCACAGTGCGCAGGAGGAAGATGGAAGCGAGCGAGCAGTGACTTCCTGGTAGGCTGCTGGATTTTATTTGTTAACTAAACGTGTTTCAGGCAGTGTTCAGAAAAAAAAACTACTGGACGTATTTATGTATGTTACTGATACATATTTCATTAAAAGTATTATTAAAAGATATTTGTGTAAATATCTCATGTAGCTCAATGGGACTAACGTGTATGAATAAAGGTTGAATGAATGTTACAACGTGGACACTCCTTATACACAAGTGCAGCAGATATATGTACAAATACCTACATATATTGCTCTAACACTTAATTTCCCTTTGGGATTAATAAAGTACGTTTGAATTGAATTTCAGCTGATATTCTGCTCTATTCGGCTTTTACTACAAAAATTTCAGCTGTTCAAATTCAGAGTCAGAGATTCTTTATTGCTGGAACAAAATTATTATTATTTTTTTCTTTTTTAAATGTAGTGGGGGCGGGTTATATTCAGGTGTGCTCAAAAGTCTGGAAACTCCAGTAGTTGGTTGAAGCGGTCAGTAAATCCAGGTAAAGGGACGAGCCACAGTCAGTTTGTCTCTTTCAGGAGGTTTATAATCCCAAACAACGACGTGTTCTCACGGTGTCCTGAGCGTTTCTAGTCCATGTGTTTATTTAAACACGCGTGTTGCGTTTCTGTTGTTGTATGAGCTGAACTTTACGCGACACCTCGCTGCAGAACAGATTTACCTGATGATAAAAACAACTGCTCGAAACAGACGTTTGTTTTAGGCCTACACGTCGTCTTTAAACCGACGCTATGACAAGATTTTCTCTCCTATTAGTGGTGCCATGAAATCTTGAGAGATTAAAATGTCACGATTACGTGTGGAGTTGAAAATCAAACGTCAGGTTGAAGTCAATACGACCGTGTGGGGAAATCAGCGCTGAAGACATTCCCACTGTTCGTTTGGACAGAAATATTGGACGTACGACCAGCGTGGCCACATCACTCGAGCCGTTGGAAAGCAGCCTTTTCTACCTACTTGTGGCCTCTGCAGCTACGTGCTGAGAGGAAGAGTCACTCTTTTACATTCATTTAAAAACTGATACGAATGAACGCCGAGCTCACATGAAAACCTGTCACCTTGGAAGCTGAGAAGATAAAGATGGAACCTCTCAATCGGAGTTGCTCCAACTTCCAGGTGGAGGTGAAATGAGATCTGGCCGTACGGTTTACTGAGCAACTTTTCTCTACGGTGAGAAAACCCGCGAGTTTTACTCTGTTGTCCTCGTCAGTCGTTCCTGAGACTCTCAGACCAACGAACACGTCAGAACACGTCACATCTAGTGTTTCATTTAAAGTTTTTAAAGGTGAAATAATGGCAGGTCTTTCAATTTTCATAGACATTTTAAAAAGCTATTTAAATGTCTTTTGGTAATTTAATTTGGAAACAAGGAAGATAAAAATTCAAGTCTTACTTAAATTTCATAATTTGAATGTTTTGACATAATGAAATATGAAACATGGGGCAAAGGTTGGCTCTTGATCTGGTTTTTATTTTGGCTCCTTATAAAAACCAGTTGGACTCTTCTGAGGTAGGTCAGATAACTTTAACGAGAAGTTAAACCTCCAATAGTTGAACTGTATGAAGAGACCAGGCCAGTAAGAGTTTGGAGCAAAACCGTTCTTAAAAATAGTTAAAATTTGGTCTAGCTTCTTCCCATTTAAAATAATCATTAAAAAGCTTTATAGTAGACAGTCCGTTATTAAATTTTGAGGACTTCCAGTTGTTTTGGATTAACCTGATTAGACCTCGTTACAAGATGTCAAAATATCTGTAGTAATTTGTCCTGAGAGGAAATCCAGCTAAACTTAGCACAGATGGGATAGAGCCAGCTAATATTAAAACAGCAGCAGCTGCCGAGTTAAAATAACATTTTTATAGCACATCTGGCCTCCCTCCCTTTTCTCTGCTGCACGTAATCACATCAAGTCAGATTAAGTCCCATGCAAACCATAACGATGTCCGACTAGCACCTCGGCACTGCGCTTCTTGGGTTTACGTTTTCGTACGCGACCTGCCACGAGTGCAGAAAACCCGAGGAACATTCAGTCGCCGTCCTGACAGCGGCTTTCAATCAATCAGGGAAACTTCTTTCAGTTAAGCCACAGCAGCAAACGATAACAGAATGACCAAATCCCACGCAAAAATTAAAAATAGCTCATTCCGTTACATCTGGAATGAACCATTTTGTCCTTTTGCCTGAATATTTAACAGTTAAATTAACCCAACAACGGGAAATAATGAAACATAGCTCATGAAATCTTAAGCAACTCTAAGTTGAGGAGTTTTTAAAGACATCACGGAGCTTAAATCACCAGAATTAAAAAAAAAAAGAGACTGGACACAAACAGAAACACGGAGTGAAACAATCAAACTTACTATTTTGCGTACGTGACTTAAAGCGCTTCCCTCTTTGCCTCTGCAGTTCTCAGCCTGGTAAGGCGGTGAGATTACAACATCGTCCATCACAATAATGTTCTTCTCCTGCCATTTACAGTCTTTGATGCTGCAAAGAAAGTCAACGTGTCCTTAATTGCACTTGGAGAGACCTATATTCAAATTATTCTTGTTTTCCCAAATAAAAATAAACAAGCAGTCGTGTTTCATATAAAAATTAAAATGATTTTAAAGGAAGAAAGTGTGAAATCCTTACGTTTTGTGAATAGTCTGGAATAGCTGCTGGCCCTCCACAGAAACCCCAGCACTGATTGCATAGGCTTGGGACAGCTTGTCTTCCTTTTCTGTCCGTGCTCGATTGGCAAGCTGTGAAGAGTTAAACAGGAAAAAATAAAAATCAGAAAAAAGGTATTTTTCAAAGTTCGGACAAGTTCAAAACTTGAGCGGTTTATGCTAAAAGTCTGGATTATATGAATATAATTGAAGAATTTATTCACGAGACTGTGCAAAGTTGATTGTTTTTAATTTGCCTGGTGGAGTGACTTTCTTTTAGCCTCAGTTCACTGAAAAGATGCCGTGGACAAAATACGTTTAGGAACATTCTGCTGATCGTTTTTCTTTACAAAGACTGTGTCACAAGAAAATCCTGCCTTAAACTGAACCACAGAAACAGAACTAAAAATGCATGCTCAATAATCCAGGTAGATTAATCTAACAAGGTTGAGTCAGGTCCTCTGGACAGATTTTTTTTAGCCAAAACGTTTCATATTTTATCCAAAAGAATTCAGACTGAACAAGTCGAAGAAAACTTTTGATAAAGAAGAATCCATCCAGAGGACCTGACTCGATCTCGTTAGGAACTACATTACAAACGTTACTAGAACCGCCCTCTTCCACCTGCGTAATCCCTCTGAAATTAGAAACAGCTCATCTGTATGATGTAGAATAACTGGTTCATGCATTATTTGTCACGTCTAGACTGGACTATTGCAATGGTTTATTATCTGGGTGTCCAAATACTTCTTTCAAAAGTCTTCAGCTGATCCAATCTCTTAACTGGAGTTACTGGTAGAGATCATATCTCTCCAGTTTTAGCTTCTCTCCATTGGCTCCCTGTCGAGTCCAGAATTCAATTTAAAATCTTACTCCTAACCTACAAAGCTCTCAACAACCTAGCTCCATCTTGTATTGGAGATCTTGTTGTTCCATATTTTCCTAACAGAGCACTTTGGTCTCAGACTGCAGGTTTACTCGTGGTTCCTAGAGGAAGATCTTTCAGTTATCAGGCTCCTCTCGTGTGGAACCACCTTCCAGTTTCTGTCCGTGAGGCTGACACATGGTCCAGTTTTAAAACTTTCTTTTTTGATGAATCCTATAGTTAGGGTTGGCTTGTTTTGCTGCTATAGGCTTAGACTATTAGAGGACAAATTGACCTGAATTCCTTAAATGAGTTGTTAAAATTGATTAGTTTTCATTTGATACTATTTCTATCTTAATGTGATTCTTGACCTGCCATTGTGTATCTATTCCTCTCAAACCGAGCCGGTCGAAGCAGATGGAGCTCGTCCAGAGCTGGTTCTGCTAAAGGTTTCTTCCTCGTGAGGGAGTTTTTCCTTTCCACTGTCACCTTCATTTTTACTCAAAATGAGCATTCTGTGATGGAGTTAAACTCAAAGCAGTCTGCTCCTCAGATAAATAAAGTTAAATTATTATTTTTATATATGAATGTTTCCGTTCAGTGTCCCGAGACGACTTCTTGTGACTTGGCGCTTTATAAACTGAACTGAACTAAACATAAACACCAGAATGCACCATTATTTTAATATTTTTGGAGGTTAGTGTAATGACAAAGATGTTTTCTTTTCCCTGATAGAGAAATAAAAAAGCACATTACACAGGACACAGACTTCAAAATGTACCAGCATAAAAAGTTAATTTACAAACTTTATGAAAAGTGTTCCTAAAGCGAGCTGCGGCTACTGTCGACATCTCGTTCTTTAAGGATCAGAAGAAAAATGGGTTGTTTTGTGAGGCGACTAAATTCAAGCTTTACGCACCTCATTTGATTAAAAGAAACTCGGTGCTCAGCTTTATGCAAACGACACGCAGGCAATGAGCTTTTAAAATGGTCTGCGAGCTAAAAGAATACATTTCACAGGTTTCCACAAAGATAATAATTTGGAAGCCTGTGCACAAAACTGCCGAGCTTTCAGTTCACAAGACGTTGCACGGTTAAATAAACCCCACCCCAGATTAGACCGACTTACCTTGCTAACATTCAGAGATGCTAGTGGAGGTGGAGTCTCAGTACGGTCATTTATTATTTCCACATCAGAAACATAGGCTAAGTTGATCAGGATGACGTCGTTGAGGTTCGACTTGCCACTGGAGGAAGCACATTCTTCGAGGGGACACAAGTCAAGGAGGACAATTTTACGACAGTGACTTAAAAGAACAAAATCACCATTGTTATCGGACCCTTAAAGAACTTCACCACCGGCACAGAGAAGCTTATGATGGAGAGCTGCTGACCACACTGACAGTGGAAGGCTGTGCCAGTTACAGCATGTGACTGAGGCCTGTGCTGCCACCTACAGCCACAATGAGTGAAGCTTGTACACACACACAAACTAACCCTGCTTGTTAAATCTATGGGGTTGCACTCACCACATTCTGATCCTGTTAAACTAATCATAAAATTAAAATGTTCCACAAGGTTTTGATCTTGAGACACAGTTAAAAACAGGTTAAATCTTGATATAGTTTACTCGGGATGGAATTTTTTGATGACAAACTAAAACATTTAGGGATTAAATAAAGAAAATTGCATAAACATGGGAAAAACAGTGAAAGTGACAGAACAAAAGCATTAAAAAACCCCAGAAAAATTACAGTTAAAAGTTTCAACACAGTCCCTTTTGGGATAATACAAGAAAGGCTTGTTGGTCATTTGACTGAAAAGTTGCCTTTCATGTTGGTTTTAGACTAAAATTATGCTGAAAAAATCCCCAATCTGTTTAGGACAAACGTTGAAAAGTTGATTAGCTGGGCAGCCATCTTTAATTGGGTTCAAAGCTCATCAGTTGCAGATGTACATCCAGTAAAACATGTTTCTGACTGAAACATTTAGTTGACTCAAAAAAAGCTATTGGGAATATTTTTTTTTTTTAACAAACATTAATAATTTTAGTGCTCAAATATGTGATGGGGAACAGTATCCGGTACCACCACAACAGATATTAGACAAATATCTGTAGAATTACCTGATAAGGCCCCATTTAATATTCAGTTGGCTGTGGCAGACATCTTGAATTACACTAACTCAGTTGTAGATGTATATTCAAAGATTATATCTGGAAGTTTACTCAAAATATTTTGGCAACAAACAAATGCACACAGACAAAACCGTTTTCTTTCACCCCCGCTTTTTGGAGTAACAAGTTTTTAGGTTCCCTACATGTATGATGTATCTTGAGAGCTGACGGACTTAAAAACCAGTAATGAGTCACAATCTCATGACTAAGAAATTTCCAATGACTTGCCGTAGCATAAACTATCTTTAAAGATTTGTACAGCGCCAAAAGTTAAGCTCGAATGTATTTATACAAGTAGATACACGTTTAATTGTTTTTAAATCAAAGATGGTGACTGTGTAGCCTTTAAATAGCAGGTCAAAGCTGAACTTGTGCTTGTTAACAGCTCAAACTCATATTTTTAATTTTATGTAGTGGCAAAATCCTGAAGGCCATTTTCTGATGTTGTACTTAAAACATGTCTTTATATATGAAAGTAGCTATCACAATTAAAAATAAATATATAAATAAAACAGCTCATCTGTCATCCATCCCCACTCAATTAATCCATTCATTCATTCATGCACTCAAGTTTCAAACAGTTTGGTCATACATCACCAGCTCTGTTCGTTTCATGCACGCTAAAATTACTAGAAAAATCACATAAATAAATCATAACTTAAGTAATTAAACTCCTCCTCGAAATGCAAGCATGGGTAGCGTAAAGCTAAAGTTAGCTGCTAATGTCCCAACCGAGTCACGGCTCGACGTGCGTGAGCCGTGCCAGCCAAAAGATGTCAGACTGGAGATAAAGCTAATAAACCTCAGCTTTTTACAAGTGAGTGAGCCATGAAGAGTTCAGGGAGGGAGGGAAGGGTCTGAGCGAAAGTTAGCATGTTAGCCTAGCTAGAAGCAGTTAGCATGAGGGGAGTGGGGAGGAGCGGGGGGGGGGGGGGGGGGACAGAGAAATTTAAAACTACTCTTTAAAACGAAAACTGGCATCTCGAAACCCGTGCGTGAGAAACCGTAAAAAGTAAACGTGGGGACACGAGCCCGAAGCTGGATGCGCTGAATGTCACTTAGCCTGCTAACTAGGAGCACACACAGCCATGATGCCAGATTGTGATCCATGTTGAGGGCTGCCAATACAATGAGTGGATTCAAAACACATGCACGTCCTTAGAAGACGCATTAAAATGCCTAGCAAACACCAGCGGGGCCTGCGTTTGATAAGAGACGGATGGACAAGTACTTTGGAATGCGAACTAGCGTGAAACGGATAAAGATGTGTAGGTCGGCTCCCACCAATTACGCCTGCGCGGATCACTATTTGACATATTTTCGGTTACCCTACAGGCCCGTGAAGCCAGGCAGGCCGGCCGTCCGTCCGTCCGCAGCGCGAGACAAACAAAGGATACTCAGGGTTAACATCTTGGACTGGTAGTCAAACGCGACCACTTCTCCTTGGAGCCGTTGGCCCAAGCAGGTGAGGCAAGAGACATGGCTCCCGACGCTGAAATACTCCCCCGGTCCAGGAGCCGCCATCTTCTCCGCCAGGAGGATACCGGAGCGCCTGTCTTACGTAAACCGACGTGGTGACGTAGGCGGACGAATCTGGGCGTGGTGGCATACGTCGTGTTAAGGTCATTGACAAGTCTTTCACATATTCAGAGATTACTCCGCCTGTTAAAGTTAACCGGCACTTTACTTTACTTTGTTTTTCCGGTAAATTACAGATAAATATTGTTTTGGCAAATAAATAAAATTAAGGCGCATTTTCGAAAGGTTTCACTCATTTGACAACAGTAAATATCTATTAATCCAACTTTCTTTATTCATTGAAAAGTTCCACTGTGTTAAGTGCACCATCTCATAAAATACGACTTAGTTACTGATAATTATGAAATACTATCCAACATTTATCAATCAAATCATAAGAATGATCAGCATTAGTTAGATCATTATTATGTTCATTATCATTCATTCATCATATTTAGTTTTCAACATTCGCCTTAGAATCTAGCTGGTTTTTTTTATTGTTACCTTTTCCTTTTAGCCATCCTATTTGTAAAAAAACAAACAAACAAAAAAACTGTATTATGACTTTTTATAATTGTTTATTGTTGTCCATTGTTGTCATCTTTCTTTGTTGAAATCAGGTCTCTCTTGTAAATGAGTCCTCGAGGCTCTATGGGATTTACCTGTCTAAATAAAGGTTGATTGATTGATTGATTGATTCATCATATGATCATTATTAGTTAGATCATTATTATGTTCATTAT